TTTCACGTGAACACGTGGGCAGTGCGGTGGGACACTTGCAAAGCGCTTTCAGTATATAATAACATGTGTTTTGTTTTCCTAGTGGTGCACGTTTTGTATACATTTGTTAACAATCTTACCTAGTCAGTTGAACGGACATGTTTGCACGGAACTGCCGCGATATTAATGGATAGAACGACACAAATCTTGTTTTTGTATTGTGATTTTATTTTTCATTCCAAACAATATTTCAGGGGTGGGTGACTTTGCTACTGCTGCGCATACATAAGAACAAATGAAATAACAAAACATAACCAAGTTTGATTATTCGTTACAAATTTGTTTATTATTTTCATTCTATCTTCTGTCTTTGTTAATGATCAATCATGTTGCAGTTTTTGGATGGATGCTCGTCACTTTTACTTGTTTTTACAGAGTAAGACGTCGATTCAGTGTTATTTATTTACAATATAGTCATAATTGCGTGTCTATATAATATTGTATTTCATATATGTCATATTTCTGGTATGCATTTCTAGGATATTGTCATATTTAGATTATGAATAACGCTCATGTCTTTTCTTCATATATATATTTATGTACACAAGATACACGTACATGCTTTATACATGCACATGCATATGCATATGCACCTGCACACATACATACCTAGGTACATACATACATACATATATATAACATAAGTAAATAATTTTTTTTGTAACATATATGTGTATATATAGCTGCATGCATACATCATGATATATAGAGATTCGAAAGTGATGTAATATAAATATATACAGTCTCCTATTTTTATTCTACATTTTGATTTGAATGATGAACGCATTTTCATTACCGTTTTGATTCATTATATTAATTGGGGAAAACAAATCATACGCAACATTCAATCTAACATTATTCCTACACTTCAGGTCACACCCGGTCACGTCGAACGAACTCGTACGCCCTAGCCTAGCCACCGTTCGCTTTACCGGACATTCCTAAACACGAGGTCAGCCATGGATGGTCAAGACAAACGAACGCGTACATATTTCCCATGATGATCAAGGTTAGTGATAAAATAAATATTTATATTAATTAGGAATTAATTTCTGACGCAACATTTATATTGATTTATTTATTTTATATGTACACGTACATGTACAATATATATTTATATACATACATACATACGTATGTGTTATATATACTATATATGTGTATATATATATATATATATATAATATATATATATATAATATATATATTATATATATATATATATATATATATATATATATATATATATATATATATATATAGTATATATATATATAGGTATATATGTATGTATAATATTAATATATATATATATAGATAGATAATATATAGATATATATATATAATAATATATATATATATATATATATATATATATATATATATATATATATATATATATATATATATATATATATATATATATATATATATATATATATACATATTACACGAGATTTTTTTATATATAGTCATTATTATTTAGTAGTATTTCTATACTAACGCAAACGCACGCGCACTCACACACATATTGCATATGTTTGTTTATACATACATACATACATACGTTTCGAAGTGCAAGGGAGTTGTATATGAAATGGGTTTCCTGTATTGTATTGTTTGGTTGCAATTTTGCTCAGTTTCAATGTATGAGTGATAGCGTTCACTACATTATTGTATCGACAGTGGGTATTTTATTGTGAGTTCCATTATTGCTAGTCTAGATAACATAACAGGAATATTTATTGGTTTGGTTTGCTTGGTTGCTGGTTGGTTTGGTCAGATATTTCTCTTATTTAGTCTTTGTGGCTCCAAAAGGAGCCGATGTAGTTGAAAAGAGGTAATACGGAAAGTATTTACTTCTTCTCGGTCTTCTTGGGGAGGAGCACAGCCTGGATGTTGGGCAGGACACCACCCTGGGCGATGGTAACGCCAGAGAGGAGCTTGTTGAGCTCTTCGTCGTTACGGATGGCCAGCTGCAAGTGACGGGGGATGATACGGGTCTTCTTGTTGTCACGGGCGGCATTACCTGCCAACTCGAGGACTTCAGCAGCCAAGTACTCCATAACGGCAGCGAGGTACACAGGGGCACCAGCACCTACACGTTCAGCATAGTTGCCCTTACGCAGAAGGCGGTGAATCCTACCGACGGGGAACTGAAGGCCGGCCCTGCTTGAGCGGACTTTGACTTGCCCTTTACCTTACCGCCCTTACCACGACCAGACATGTTGATAGTTTGCTATGACTTTGCTCAAAAGAATCAAATCATAGTTGCGGGCAAAGCTTGGTATTTATAGGTGGCTCCAGGTGAAACGGTCTCATTGGGACATGTGGCAATGCGGGATGGCCGGGGATTGAGCCAATAGCGTGGCCCACGCTTTCCTTGGCCAGCCGAGGCTGGCGCTGGTGGTGCACTATAAAAGGAAAAATCATAGTTTGGAGTTTATAGCAATACCTCTTGCGAGTGTTGTCAATCATGCCACCCAAGACTTCCGGAAAGGCTGCCAAGAAGGCCGGTAAGGCCCAAAAGTCTATCACCAAGGGTGATAAGAAGAAGAAGCGCAGGAGGAAGGAGAGCTACAGCATCTACATCTACAAGGTGTTGAAGCAGGTCCACCCTGACACCGGTATCTCCTCCAAGGCCATGTCCATCATGAATTCTTTCGTGAATGACATTTTTGAGCGCATTGCCGCTGAGGCTTCCCGCCTTGCCCACTACAACAAGCGTTCCACCATCACCAGCCGGGAGATTCAGACCGCCGTCAGGCTTCTGCTCCCCGGTGAACTGGCCAAGCACGCTGTCAGCGAGGGCACCAAGGCCGTCACCAAGTACACTTCCTCTAAGTAAATTGCTTGGTTGCTCGGTTTCTCCGGTCTCCTACAACAACATCGGCTCCTTTAGGAGCCACAGAACATGCAAAAGTAGATAGAAATGACATTAACCAATTTGCCTTGTGCATTCTTTCAAAGTACAGTAATATCAACATATATATCAATGTAATAGTCGTTTGAATCGTTAGATTTCGAGTAAGGGATTCATTTTAATCGTTTTTACTGAAGTGTGTGTGTGTTTGTCTGTATGATTAAGGATAGAGGAAGTGTGTGTATGATATACGAGAGAGAGAGAGAGAGAGAGAGAGATGAAAGCTGTGTGTGAATATATATACATGTATAGAAATATATGTTGAAAGTATATATGCCTGTATATCATAGTAACATATATGTCTTCCATAATTAGAAATATACCACATGCATTATTCATGACATATCAATGAATAGGGTATGTATTAATGTAAGAGACAGAGAGTGGGTGAATAGATTTATATTAGACATACACGTGTATATGTATACAGATATATATATATATATATATATATATATATATATTAGTTATATATATATTATATATATATAATGTATGTATATATGTTATGTGTAGGTGTGTGTGTGTGTGTATATATATATAGATAGATAGATAGATAGATAGATTTGTATAATTGTCAAGACATTATATTGATTTATAATATAAAAAAAAAGCATGTGTCATTCGATCTTCAATGTTATATAACATTATTATTATACACATAAACAAGCAAACAAGATCAAATATGCGGGGATATAAGCACGTGCTTTAATGGTTGCCGCAAGCTTTGATTTGTGATTTCTTAGTGTTTTCTATAAAATATTATATAATATATTGGTTGAGGTAGGTTAGGTGGGGTGTTTGGTGTTTATTGTTTTATATTTATTATTGCCTACACACACAAGTGTGTTTGTTTGTTGAACTTTGAAGTCAGTCATTAACATATAGTCAATATTTTAGTCAGTCTGTTAGTCACATTATTATTATATTTAGTAAGACTTATGTTTAGACAGTGTGTGTCTGTATGTCTGTTTGCCGGTCGGTCGCTCGACAAATATTACAATGTATATTGTTGTAGTATTTAATATTTGGCATAGTATCATACCGAAACGTATACGATAAGGAAATCAAGTGCGTTGACAACATGTTGAAAGTCAGTCATGCATGGCTTCGTGCCTTACCTTACTACTAGTTGCATACCTATTTATCTATCTATCTATGCAATGTCATTGATTCTAATCGTCATTGCTGGTTACATTTGACATCAAAAACTAAAGCAAACAAGAAAAAAAAAAAGGAAGCATGTCATGTTTCATCTCAATATTGATTAGTTTAGGCCCTGAAAAGGGCCGAGGAGGATGATTTTGATGTATGCAAGCAAGCTAGCAACCAAAATCTTAGGCGCGCTCTCCGCGGATACGGCGAGCAAGTTGGATATCCTTGGGCATAATGGTTACACGCTTGGCATGGATGGCGCACAGGTTGGTGTCCTCGAAGAGGCCGACCAGGTAAGCCTCGGAGGCTTCCTGCAGAGCCATGACAGCAGAGGACTGGAAGCGGAGGTCAGTCTTGAAGTCCTGGGCAATCTCACGGACGAGGCGCTGGAAGGGCAGCTTGCGGATGAGGAGCTCAGTGCTCTTCTGGTAACGACGGATCTCACGAAGGGCAACAGTACCAGGCCTGTAACGATGGGGCTTCTTGACACCTCCGGTAGCAGGGGCAGACTTACGTGCTGCCTTGGTGGCCAGCTGCTTGCGGGGGGCCTTGCCTCCGGTAGACTTGCGGGCAGTCTGCTTGGTACGAGCCATTGCGAATGATTGTTTGTATCTGTACAGATAGGAAACAGTCTGGCCGGGTCTTCAAGAGCTGAATTTATACCAGAGCGGGCTTGGCCGTGCGGAGAAGTGTGTGGCTGGCACAGTGTGCGTTGGCGCCGCCCATTTCCCCGGTGTAAGCAGGACCAGAGACCTGGCCAACTTTACCTGTGATCAAAGGAAATCCTTGATGAGAAATGGGACAATTAATACATGATGTCATCAACAAGGTGATTGCAAACATATGCGTGTAATGTGTCAGGTGACTTTGATGGATTGGAAGGTGTAAACAAGTTTATTTGCTTAGAGCGGGCGGTTAAGATGAGCGGCCGCTTGATGCGGCAAGCCTGAGCGCTACGCGAGGGTAGGGAACAGGTACCATTGCTAGGGTTTGCCAGTGCGGATCATCTTCTCGTTTACTCGCAGCAAGACAAGTCGCTACCATGACTGGACGTGGAAAGGGCGGAAAGGGTCTCGGAAAGGGGGGCGCCAAGCGTCATCGCAAGGTGTTGCGTGATAACATCCAGGGTATCACCAAGCCTGCCATCCGTCGTCTTGCCCGTCGTGGAGGTGTCAAGCGTATCTCTGGTCTCATCTACGAAGAAACCCGTGGTGTCCTCAAGGTATTCCTCGAGAACGTGATCCGTGACGCCGTCACATACACCGAGCACGCCAAGAGGAAGACCGTCACCGCCATGGACGTCGTCTACGCTCTCAAGCGCCAGGGACGCACCCTGTACGGTTTCGGAGGTTAAACGTTTTCAACAAGACCGAAAACGTCAACCACCAAAGGACAACCATTACCACCAAAAACCTTGGACCTATCTTAGGTCCTAAAATTATTACAGAGATATCATCGTTGACTGACTGTTTGGCTCTTGCTTTTATTTTTTAAGTGTTTGATTTATTTAGTTAGCTTTTGGGCTTGTCGTCGTTAGAGGGAGCATGTTTCTGGGCAAAAATCATTACTACAAAGAAATGACAGAGTTTACCATACATTCATACATGCATAGAATCAATGCAATGATAGGTCTATGGCAACTTGTTTGGGTATCAGAGAGTGAAATAGATCCATGTTGTAAGGGGTGACTATTTTAAAACAAAACACACACACTCTTATGTTGACGGTTATTTATGAGTGGGTGTCTATTATTCAAGTCATATCAATAATTTTTGGCTGACACGACTCGAATTGATATATAGATGTTGGTTGTTTGTATACATTTATTGACCGTTATATAGTTTTTTGTGTGTGTACGAGGGGTGGTGGATTTGTGTTAATTACTAATTAACTACAAGGATAGCTTGACAACAATATTGAATAATCAATAGTAGCGTCAATGTTGCAGATGAAGTGACCATCATATTGGGGATGCACATGTTTGTTTGCTTGAAATTAATAGTATGTTTGTTAGTTAGTTATACATATATGCATTAACGAAGTAACACAAAGAAAACAACAATTATGAATAACTGAAGTATTGTGAGTAGGTCAGTCATAAACGTTTATGGAATATAATTGAAAAGAATATCAGAGCTATGTCACAAACAAACACATTCAAAACATTCATTCACACTCAATCATATAATCAATCACATTAACAAGCATATTCAAAGTCAATACACATCTCACACAAACCAAAGACAAAGACAAAAGAAACAACTACTTGTATCAAGCATGAACACAGCAGAGCAGAGCACACCACACCACACCACAGCATAATCATACACAAGGACCAAACAACAAACACAACAAAAATGTAGTCAGTCTGTAACTTACCAAATAACCAGCTATCAGTCTGTAGGATTGATTACACGACCGGCACAAACACAGACAAAGAAACAAACACAGTTACATGTAGGCACACACACACGAAAACAACAACAAAACATCCAAGGAACAAGAAACATACACCAACACCAATAACAACAAACAGGGGGGAGGGGAGGGGGGACCCAACAACCAAAAACACAACAAACAACAACAAACCAAATTAAAAAGACAGAGTCAAATCAAAAACAAGACAAAACGAAACAAATCAAATCCAATCCATTTCATTTCATGTTACTTTACTTTGCTCTTGCCTCGGGGAGACCTACACGGCCGAGCCTTGGACTGTGTCACACAGAAATGGACTCTATGCGTACTGATACACAAAATATAGGCCTTATTCGCTGTATAAACACTGAGACACACAAATATAGGCCTTATTCGCTGTATAAACAACAGCTAACTACCAAACTGGTATTCCGGTCTTTTTGGCAACGCTTTTTTTTTTGACAGAAAATATCTCAAAGTATCACGAGTAATCATTGTTTTACAGTCCGTACAATACAAATATGTTGAAACAAACTGTAGGCAAAGGTAGAATAAACACGTGTCAATGAACAAGTCTCAATACTAGCTTATCATACCAAATAACATTTCTGCAATCGATATTCACACAAATAATCACATATTAAACATGTTGCATGAAGGAAAGGTCCTGCCTTATAATAGGTTGGATCGTTCATGAGGAAGATGCTCATATTCATTACATTTTAAGAATGTTTGTTTGGAAGTAAATATTGTTGAAAATATTATTGGTGTTGCATTTATGTTTGATTTTATTATTATTAAATGCCTGTTGTACATGTCTTTATCAATTATTACAACCGCAATTTGTTTATAAGTTAATTTTTTTCATGTATTGTATTTTGGGAAATTTTATTTTAATAACTATTGAACTCTGCATCAATATGTTGATACTCATTGATTTCATAACATTCAGATACTGATATGTAATGCTTATCACATTATTTTTGGGGTAAATACAAGGTGCCTTGGTGTCTCACCCACATATTTGGTATAACTAAAGGGATCATGATACAGTAGTGGACTATGAACTCTGTATCCAATATAAAATAGTATATATATCACTGGAATTATCAGTGTTATCTTGTTATGTTATCCAGAAATCATTTATGCAATCTAACACATTCATATATATCTTTAAAAATATGATATTGATGATAGGAAATATTACACAATTATGCATGAAATCAAATAATATATATATATATATATGATTAGATAAAATGTAATATGATATTGATTATAGGATTTATAGCACATGGGTATGCATACACAAGTAAAGACAGATAGATACACACACACACACACACACACACACACACACACACACACACACACACACACACACACACACACACACACACACACACACATACATACATACATACATACATATGTGTGCGTGCATGTACATAAGTATAGTACATGTTATTATTTATATTTTTACTTTATTATATATATTATATATATATATATATATATATATATATATATATATATAATAATATTATAATTTTTATATTCATATACATATATATATATTGTGTATCTATGCACACATACACATCTTTATGAAAAAATACATTAATTAATTATTGTATATACATGTTTAATTTATTTCCTTTTTTTCTTTCTTTTCTTGTCTTTTCTTTTTTCCCATATTTATTTTGTTTTCTATACATATACATTTATACGTACATACATATACATAAACATATGTCTATACTTATACATAGATACATACATACATGGATGTATATGTGGGTTTGGGTGTGGGTTCATGTGGGTGTCTGTGTGTGGGTGTGTATGGGTGTGTGAAATTGTCATACATTTCTATCTTATTGTTTCATGTATATCACTTATATTAATAATTATATATATAACATTACATTTTAGCAATATTATACATTATCATCATGTTAGTTGGGTCACATATTTGCAATTATTATTATTTCTTTATTTTCTCAACAACATTAATCACAATCATTATATTTATTTGTCAGAACTCTTACAAATTTTATTCATATTATAGTTTATCATATAGATTAAGATATTTTATTATTTATGTTATCAATATTCACATTCTAAATTTGTATTTATATATATATATATATGGATTTTTGATATGTCATCTTTTAATGCACCTGTATCTAAAGGGAATATGTATATATCTTTTTTGCATTGTTTTAATCTTTTATTTTATTTATTTGTATATATCTATATATTTATTTTATTATTTTTACAATATTTTCCATTTTTATTTTTTTTATTACAATTATAATGTTTTTTTGCTTCTCATTTGTATTATTTATATTATTAGTACTTATTTATGCTTTTCTTATTATTGTATTTGTATCTATATTATTTTCTCTATTAGTATTGCACATTCTTTTATCTATGTGATGTTTATATTATCATTATTTCTATTAACCATATAATGTTACTGTTCTTCTTTATCATTTGGTATGACGGATTTTTATTTCCTTTTCTTTTCTTTTCTTTTCTTTGCTTTTATATATATCCTTTTTTTTTTTTTTTTTGCATATGTATATTTTTACATTCTTATGTTCCAGTTACAATAATTTGTGATAGGTATAAACAAATATTTATAATATTACTTTGTTTCTCATATTTCTATATTAGTGTTTCCATTATTGTATCTGTTTGTGCACATTTCTTTATTATATTTATTTTATCTAATTGTACAATTTTATATAGATAGCTATTCATATTATTATTATTGATAGCCACTCAATAAAATACAATATATATAAGTAAAACATTATATCGTTAAATTATTTTTATAACATTTCACAGCATTTTGCAGGTTGTTCATATTATATATTTTGTCTTATCATTATATTTTTAGTAACCATTAAGTCATTAACATATCAACATGAGCAAAATTACTGTCAATTATATGAGCTTTAACATCTATTCTATATCATTTTGAACATATTCTCATCCATTTGCAAGCAATATGTGGGTGGGTGGGTGGGTGGCTTGGTGTGTGTGCATGACTATATTTCTCCGAGTTACATGACCTTTTCATACAATATATCCTTTTATTGGTTTATTTGTCAAATATATTTATGTTTATTTGTATATATGTTTATTTTATTTTCCACATGTTGTTTCTCACAATATTTCCTTTGCCCAGCGTGCATATAGTGTCATTTGTATCATTTGTTGCAGATATGGCACAAATATATATATTTGCATAGGCATTGTTAGTGTATGCATGTTGACCATGACTTTGATTGTGTTTTTGCATTTATTCCAATCAGTATATATTTGCTCATTTTAACTGATTTTCATGTTATATTTCTATTCTTCCAGATCATTATCATGAAGCTTGGCCTATGAGGTATGTTTATTTTCTATTTTATTTTCTATTTATCTTCATTAGAACTTTGATTGTATGATTTTCAATATTCTAATTTGTATGTATCTTTGGTTCAGATTTGTTCCATGTAATCATAATATATGTCATGTCATCAATACATTTTACACAGAACACAAGTTATAGGCTATGCCATCAATTTTTTTTTTTTTTTTTTTTTTTTTTTTTTTTTTTTTTATTATTATTATTATTAACATACATTACCTCATTGTCTCTTCTTCTCTCATTCAAACTTTTTTTTTTTCTTTTCTTTTCTTTTTCATTTTATTATATCCATAAAATAAATATATCATATATATCTATATCTATATATATAGATAAATATATATATATATATATATATATACATTATATCATTATGTATATTATTATTTTTATTTATATACATATTTATATGTATGTTGACATATATATATTTTGTATTTTTATATTTATATAAATATACATATATATCTATATACCTATCAATCAAAATCATAATGTATATAAATATGTATGTATGCATATGAATATATATTATTTTTTTTTATTTCTATATACATACAT